GCCTGGTGAGGGCTGTGGGGCGCCGGCCGCCGTCGCGCTGTGAGAAGGCTGCTGGCCCCGCCCAGCCTAGTGGACGGGCCTTTCCCATAGGGGCGGCGAGCGGAGGACGAGCTCTCTGGCCTCTCCGACTGGCATGGAGTGTCCTTTTGGTTTTTTTTAGATTGCTCTATACATGCATTCAGAACTGGGGTACAGGCCAGAGGTGCGGGGGATGAGAGGATTCCCCAGGAGCAGGACAGGTGGATCACGAAGTACACTGCCGAGGGGGCAGCGGGAGACAGGAGGGGTCTCCCGCGCCCTGGGGGTCACCCCCTGGCCGGGGATGGAACTCGTGCTGCAGAGGCGGCGGGCAGCTTCTTAGCGCCGGCTTCAGCCTGGGGCGCCCGAGGAGGCCCCGTCAAGGCCTTCAGCCCTGCCTGCACCCTTCTCACTGCCTTCCCTTCATCAGGGTGTGGGCTCCCGCCTCGACGGATTTCGGAACCGGGGCCCAGGCTGCACGTGGGATTCTCTGCGGAATTCCGTGGGCGAGAAGATCCTGTCCCTCCGCAGCTGCTCCCTGGACTCCTTAGGGGCCCTGGGCTCTGCCTGCTGCGGCGTGCTCAGTGAGCTCTCTGAGGAGCAGGCCTTCCACGTCAGCTACCTGGATATTGGTATGGCCGGCCGGGGGCCGGGGGCCGGTGGGGCTGGGCTGGACCTGAGCAAGTCCACACGGGCGCTCGAGGGTCAGCGGGTGTGGGGTGACGCAGACACACCCCTCTGGGCTGACCCCTGCCCAACGCTGCCTCTCCCCTCTCTCCCGGTCTCCAGAGGAGTTGAGCCTGAGCGGCCTCTGCCAGTGCCTGGTGGAGCTGTCCACACAGCCCGCCACCGTGTGTCACGGCTCCGCAGCCACCAGGGAGGCAGCCCGAGGTGAGGCTGCCCGCCGCGCCCTGCAGTACCTCAGGATCATGGCTGGCAGCAAGTGACAGCCCACGGCCGCGCATCCTGGCCTCCTGCTCGTCCAGCGCCTGCCAGCCCTGGCACCCATACAGGTGCCACCTCTACCTCTGAATGGACTGCCTGCCTGCGGGCTGAGGGCTCCGGGCCGGGAGCCAGGGACCACAGGGCCTCCGCGGCCCGGCATCCTGTTTCCGGTGGTGACGAGTGGGAATGAGATCGGCAGGCCCTGCCTGAGAGCCCAGAATAAACATGCTGCTCCTTGGATTCTAACGCTGCTCTTTGCGTTTCTCCACACGGCGCTGACGGCACAGGGGCTTGGCGCCGGCGACATCCGCCCGCCTGTCCCCCCACGTCCCCCCCCGAGTGCCATCCCCGTGTGCCTTCTGCTGGTAGCAGTGGGTGCGGCCACCTCCAGGGAACCGCTGCCTGTGCGCCCCTGGGTCAGCCCAGAGGGGTGTGTCTGCGTGACCCCACACCCGCTGGGGCTCCCTCCCGGCCCTTGAGAAGTCTCACACACCTCAGGGTTCAGCAGGCTGCTTTATTCGGGGAGACAGGGCTCGGGAGTGTGGGTTGCATGCAGGCACTGGAGGCGACGTCACTTCTTCCCAAAGCGTTGAGGGGCAGCCAGGTTCCAGAACTGGGAGCTGGGACCCGCCCCAGCGCGGGGACTCAGCCTCTCATTGCTCCAGGAGCGCTGGGCGTTTCTGCCGAACCTGACAGGACAAACCTTAGAGTCCCCGGCCAGCGCGCCCGCCCTCTGGCCCCTGCCCCACGCCGAGCCCTCTCTGACTCACCTCTGGGGCTGAAACAGGAAAGCCAGGCTCCGGCTGGGTCTCTGCATGGCCTGCAGCAGGGCGCTCAAGAGTGAGCCTGGGCCCTGGGCATCCCGGGGCAGGCGGGTCCCCGCGGCTTCCTCCTGTGGGCGGGGCGGCGGGAAGGAAGATGGGCAAAGGCTTGGACTCTCAGGCCACAAGAAAGAGAGAATCCAGGGCGAACGGTTGCCAGCCCCGCAGACAAGCCAGTGGAGACACTGGCAGCCAGATGACGAGTCTCAAGCCCAGGTGACGGGTTGGGGTGCTAACTTACCTGGGATGTGTGGCCTCCTTCCTGCCAGCCCCCGGGGCCCTCGGCACCTGTGCTGCGGCCCCCGGCCGCCAGGACCAGCAGCGCCACCAGCAGCACTGTGGCCCGCCTGCAGTCCATGCTGTCCTCTGCCTCCTGCAGCCCCGGCCGCCTCTTATACCTGTTGCCCAGGCCCCCGCCCGCCCGCACAGCAGCCCGAGGGGACCCCAGGCAAAGGAAAGGCAGGCGGTGCCATTAAGCGCCACCTGGGACCCCCTCCCGTGGCACCCCTGGGGCGTCCTGCTCTCAGCCTCCCGCCCCCAGCCCAAAGCCTGGAGTTACAGGCTTTATTAGATGCATAAATCCTGTCTCCAGAGCTGGTCGGAAGCATCATTAATTGCAGACGCTTTGGCAGAGCGAGGCCCTAGAGGGCCTTCGAGAACCCCCAATCCCTCAACAGGTTGGAGCGCGCCGATTGATCACCTCCCCGCTTTCTTAACTTGAGGAATGAGCACAGAGCCCCGCCAGGGTGAGACGCGACGTCCGGTCTGAGCCAGGGAGGCAAGGCAGAGGCAAGGTTGGCCCGGGGCTGCAGTCGGCCCCCAGCCCCGCCCCTCTTGAGGGTTAAACGTTCAACGACTACTGAGATTCACCTGCGGACACAACAGAATGAGATAGGAAAGGTTTACACCCACGGCAAGTGGGGCCCAGGCCCGGCTGCAGCCGGCCGAGGAGGGGCCGCGCTCCGGAACGCGGCTGCCACCCTGTGGCCACAGCCCCGCACTGCCGGCGCGGCCGCCGCCCCGCGCAAGGCTGCGGCCCGGGAGCGGGGAAGGCCGGGGGGCTGCACTGTGGCTTTGCCCACCGCCCCCTTGTCGGCCTCTGCCTGCCTCTGAATCCTGCCGCTGCCTCTCGGGGTCTTTCACAGGCACCGGGGCGGCTGCCCTGGGAGCCGGAATCTCCCTGCACGTTCCCGCTGCCCTGGTCTCCAGTCTCGCCGGAGAGGGATGGGTAGGACGGCCTGGAGCCCAGCCTTGGGCAAGCTGCCCACCAGCATGGCCACAGAGCCGCAGCTGCCTGGCTGAGTTCTGCCCCGCGAGCACCCGGCCTGCGCAGAGTACCGTCCTCCCCGCGGGGGTCTGTGGTCGTGCCTGCCCCAGCCGGGCAGCGTCACCTCCAGGGACCGAGCTCGCAGGGGCCTCTCAGGCCAGCTCTCATCTCCCGCACGTCCATCTGGCGTCCCTATCGTTTAGGGGAAGAGCCCCCCGCCCCTTATAAGCAAGGATTCTAGAAACTAACTTATGCTTTGAGCCTTTTGGCCTGGATCTTCTAGACTGTTCCTGTTGGTGCAGCCGCCGCTGGGGAGCTTCCCTGTAAGCTTTGTCGCAGGCCTGTTCCAAGCACCACTGCTTTAAAGGTCACGTCCACGGGTGGATGCTCTGTGGGAAGTGGGCCCAGCACCACAGGGAGCCTGGTTTGCTCCTGGCTGAGGCGCAGCCAGGCCCGCGGGCTGCCGCGCTGCCGGGCTCCTACTCAGGCTTAGTCACACAATCCCAGCGCTGGGTCTCCCCTCGGCAAGTGTCTTACCCCAACCCCCAGCTCATCAATAAGAGGCACCCCCTGGAAATGACCACGACCGATAAAGGGCCTGACCAATGCTAAGTACCCACACCTGCCTCAGCTGGGTTGCGGCCTGGGCTGCGGGCACCTCAGCACCCTGCTGCTCTTTCCGCTGCTGTTTTCTGGTCACCAGGGACAAGTGGCCCCGAGCTGCGGCTGCAGCAGAAAGGGGCTGGTCTAGCCCGCTTGTGTCCGGGTGGAGGCGCATGGTCTCGCCTCTGCTCCCATGCTGGCGGGTTGGTTCTTCCAGCTCCGGAACGGTCCTGCTTCCATTCTCACCCCGCCCCCACCCCTTCATCCTTGGTCTGGTCTTTGGCTTTCCTACCCTTCGCTGGACCCCCCTGGCCTCAGCACAGTGGAGCCCCCACTTTCCTGAGGCGGCTCAGCCTCCCCATCTGTCAATTACATCAAGCATCGGCCACCAGCAGCTTCTAACCTGCTTCCCTCCCACTGGCAAACCCTGAGGCCCCATCTGGCTCACTCGCTTCACTCGCGATGAAAATTGTCCAGGAAAACCCAGAAGCAAGAAATTGGCGGCGCCCTGCTCCTCCTGGCCCCCCAAGTTCCCGCAGTGACCTGCTTTTCCTGCAACTCTCTTACCTGCTTCAACAAGCTCCGCCTCGTTTCCGGACGCCAAGCCCCAGAGGCCTCCCTTTCTGCCCGGAGCCGGGCAGCGGGCAGGGACCACACCAACCGGTGTCCGTCCCCACCGCCAACAGGCACGCGCTCCCAAGCCAGGCCCTGGTGCCCAGGGCAGGCGCAGAGCTGGGCTCTGGCTCCCAGCCTGCCCGTGCCTGTCATTTACTAAACCAGTCGCCTGCCCCCAGCGTCTCCCCCATGAGGGGGGCCAGAACCCGTTCTCATGTCCTAAGAAACAGGCGCAGGGGGAGGAAGAAACATCAGACTTGAGCTCCAGAAAGTCTAGACAACTGGGCATACAGGTCACAGCATTGAAGCATCAGACAGGACAGTGGTTCTCTTGATCGTTTAATGTTATATTTGCAGCATAAATAAGGCACAATATATGTCAGGGCAAAGGAGAGGGGAGAAGGCATGGCCAGGGAGATAACTGCTAAGTGGCAGGGCAGAGCGGGGTGGTCAGGGAGAACGGAGCGAAGCCTCCGCCGGACTGTGAGCCCGCTCACAGGGGTCGCTGAGCTGGGGGCAGGGTTGCAACAAAATAGCCTGTAGCGCTGCACCCTCCTACCTGCAAGGCGCCGGACCCGAGAGCCCTGGCGGAGGCTGCCGCTACATGTCAGGGGTACACGGACGGACAGACAACGGCCGACGCGCGCGGCTTCCTGGCAACCGAGACTGCCGAGGCGCGGGAGGGCCGCCTCCCGCCCGCTGCAAGGTGCGCGCTCAGCTCCGGCGGGTCCTTCCCTCAGGGCAGAGCGACCAGTCGGCAAGTGCCGGGCAGGCGCCCAGGCCCACGCGGGACATAAGCAGAAGAGGACAGCCCTAGACCGAGATGAATGATGTGGTTGTTGTTTTAATGGGAGTTGAGGGAGGGCCTGAGGAAATGGAAGTGTTAGTGCTAAGGCAGAGACAGGACGGCGTCCAAAGTCTCCCCGACACCCCCACGAGGGGCCAGCTTGGCCGAAGGTGGTAGTCCTCAAACTTTAGTGTGCGCTACAATCACGTGGAATGCTGGGAGAGCCACCCCGAGTTTCTGATTCACTGGGCTGGGTGGGGCTCGAACGAGCCTTTCCAAGGCCCTGGGTGACGGGGCCACCTGCCACGGGCCATGGCCCGTGCTCAGAACCGTGGCCCCAAGTCGGCAAACGTGCGTCACTGCCACGTCTCCGGCGGGCTGACGCGTCCCTCACCAGCAGCGCCTGCTGCCAGCCAGCCCTGTGCTGCCGAGCCCCAGCACAAGTCAGCGCTAGCAGCTATAGCACAACCCGACCCCCCGCCCCCAGCCTTCTGTCTGGGTGCGCCTCACCCGGGGGGACGAGCGCCAACGAACTGGCTGGCTCGGAGGTGGGCGCACGGGCGCTCACCGCCCCGAGGGCGGGGGCGCGTGCCCGTGAGCGCGTGCGCGTGCGCGCAGAGGCGGTTCCCCACGGTGCGAGGATCAGGGCGCAGGATGCTGAGGGAGGATGGGGGTACCTCATCTGCCTTAGGTCCTCACCTGTGCTGCTCCCCCTCTGCCCCTGTCAAACAAAAGTCAAGACGAAGCAGAAAGAACGTGTCAATAAGGCATATGTAATACAGCGAGGGGCACTGGGTTCTAGACTGGTTATGAAATAAAAAAAATAATACATTTCCTTCCTGTGTATACAATGTACAGTATTAATGAAAAAGAATGATTTGGGGACGGGAAGGCGGATACGAGGGGGCGCTTGGGGGAGAGAACTGTGCAGGGCTAGCACCTTTAAAGGGGCCTCTGGGTGGGGAGTGGGCGCCTTGGCACCAGAGGAGGGACTTGGTGTTACCTTGTGGTTTAGGTTGTAGACAGGGTCTTGCGGTGGTTAAGCACCTGTCCACTGAGGTGGGCGGTGCTGGAGGGCAGTGAATCAGGAAAGGGACCAAGAGCAGCAGGACAGGTGCGGGAAGGCCGCCAAGGTGAGGCTCAGTCAGGCCACGTCCTCTCCCGCCACCACCGAGCGCCCACGGGCTACCGCTCAGGGCAAGACCTGAGCCAGGCTGGGGGAAGGTTGTATTTGGAACGCACTGGCCAGCAGGGGAGGCGTAAAAGGGGCTCTACTTCCTGTCTTCGTCATGGGCCTTCTCACTTTTCACGCTAAGCAAGCTTCTTCTGAGGGAGAGTGGCCATGAGGCCTAGGTTGGGCCTTGGGCTGAGGTTGGAGGCCCAAGATCTGTGCTCACTTGCAGAGTCTTAAGACTTCCACACTCGGTACCAACCCATCAGAAAGTGCCTTCCCCTAGGGCTGAGAGACCCCCTGTGATGCTGGTTCTGGTCAGTCAGGTCTAGGAGGCGAAGCACAGGGAAAGCAGCCAAGTGGCTGGCAGCAGTGGCAAGCTAAGAGATGTTTCCCTCAACCGTCAGAAAGGTCTCCGGGTGAACAAGTGCTGGGCCCTCTCAGGGAGACCCAGGACGCAGCAGAGGGCTGCACCGGGCTGCCTGCCCTAGGCTCCTGCGCGTTAAAGCTCTCGGAACGTCCCTCACGTAGGCCCCATACCGACTTCCCAGTGATGAAGATGAGGACTCGAGAGAATTAAGACAAAAAGAAATAAGCCCCTCTACATAAGTCAGCTGTTCCACGCAGGGGCAGACTGGCAGCGCTCAGAACTCCCTCCAGCCCCAAGCAGGAGGCCAGGCGAGGGCAGGGATGAAGCCTCTGCCTGAACGGGGAAGAAAAACAGTCAAGGGTCTTATGAAGGCTCCGTGGGAGTCATAAACTCAGTCAAGCTTCAGGGCAAGGCTGCTGGTAGGAAATCAAAATCAAAATCAAATGAAACAAAAAGCAGGAGAAAATCCCAGGGAGCGGCTAAGGGGGAAGTCCTGAGCAAAGTTATGGCTGCTTTTTGTTTTGCTGTAACTTTTTAAAGGCAAGTGGAGCCCCTGGGGCGGTGACCTGCACAGGACCATCTGTGAGTCACCTCAGGGGCTGTTCTCACTGGGTCCTGGCGGAGGGGATGAGGCGGTCAGGTTTCTTTCTCTTCACCAGGTGGGGCTTACTCAGCACCAGCTCTCACACCAGGACCCCAGGGCGCCACACGCGCATGTGCACCCCCTCTGTGCCCCCTGGGGCCTGCCCTTCTGAGAGGCCCCCTGCCCGCAGCGAGGAGCCGCGCGGGCAGGGCGGGACACAAGGGCCGGCGGCAAAGCAGGCGCCAGCTCTCCCAAGATGGAATGGCAAGTTAGCCCCAGACAGTTCGATGTCACCAGAGAAAAAGGAAGGGGACCTCGTTCAGGGGACCTACGACAAAGGTTGGTGCATGGCTGCTCAGGACTGGGTGGCTTCCGTTTCTGAGGCTCACGGTACATCGGGCTCTGACCAATGCAAACCGGGGGGGCTGAGGCGTGCGGAGCCTCGCCGGGTTGTGCGCAGAGGCTGTGCGCAAATCTGTGAGGCCCACGGGGCCCTGCGTTTCCTCATGGACCTGGGCCTGCTGCTCAGACTCTGTGTTCAAGCCAAGGGAACACGGAGCAGCTCCACGCCTTTCCACGCCTTCACCCGCACCCTCAGTTTCCGTAACTCCTGAGTGACTTGTTGCATTTACTGCCAGACGAGGCTCTGTTTGCCGCTGGCACCACATAAGTCACAGGTTTCCTAATTCATTATCTGGAATCAACCTTGATTCTCACTTTAATTGTGGAATTTCACAAAACGACAGCGCCGTTTCCATCAAACTGCCTTCTGCAGACTTTGGGGCTATAAGGCATGACTGCTTTGGGGACATTACAGATTGATGGACGCTAAGCCAGAAACCCCGACAAGACTACCCTCAAGTTCTGTGGGTGAGGGCTGAAGTGGACTGAGGGAGGGACGCGCAGGGTCAGCCCTCAGCAGCCCCAGCGCTGAAGGAGCAATTTTCCCCCTAAATTTCAGAATGCACTGAAGATTCTAGTTTCAACCTTTTTACCCATAAATAAGTTCCAATAGGAGCCTGCTAAATTTCATTGATAATAAATAAAAGTGGTTATGAAGTGAAACTTTAAAATGTTCAGATAAAATATTTACCAAAAAAAAAAAAAAAAAAAAGCAGTGAACTGGCCCACTAGTATGCAGCTCTGAGGGGAGTCTGGCAGCTCAGAACACGCCCCATCCCCGTGACAAAAATGTGAGAAGAGAAAACAAGGCAGCTGGCAGTTATCTTGTTATGTATGTGTAGGGGAGATGCAAAAGGAGCAGTTCTGGTTTGGACAGAGGGCAGAGGGTGGTGCTGGGACATGGGAAGGGTTTCAGACTGAAGGCTGATCAAGCTGACCTGTCTATCCACAGGCCTTTGGCTTTGGCTCGCTTCCTACGGCCTGACAGACTGCAAAGTTCAGAGGCGAAGGGTGAAGTCATGAAGGGAGAGAAAGAGGGACAAGAGGGACTAACTTCTCTGCAACCGGCTTCGGAAGAACGGCTAAGTGCAAGCACCGGGACAATGAGAAGCAATGCATGACGGGACACACAAGAGACCCAGGGGCCAGGCTGGGGACGCTTGAGAACATGAGCCCATAGCTCAGAAAAGGACAGATATATGAGGCTGAAAGGTGGGGGTAGCGTGAGGGCAGGAGCCCCCATGTGGCAGCCTGTAGGAAGCTGCATCTGAGTGAATGACAGAAGGAGACAGAGGCGGAAACCGGGCAGGGGGGCAGGCTGGAGGCAGGGGCAGCAAGATGTCCAGAAGGAGTCTGAACGCGTTGCCCGGTAAACTTGTAAAACCTAAAAGGCTCAAGCCAGTAACCTGATGAAATGAGCCTTAAACTACACTTCCTGTTGCTCTGACGGGGACTGAGAGCCGGCCAGAGCTGGCCTCTCCCCTTTCCATGACCACGTGTGTCTCGTAAGGCCACAGGATGAGGCTGCGAAGGCTGCGGGAGGTGGGGACGATCCCACGCCTGGATTGGAAAAATTCAACAGACAAATGAGGTACACAAAAAGCTCTGGAACTCACTGACAAAGGACTCTAGAATCCTGGGGTTTTGTTTCTTTTTGCCGTTTTTGTTTCGGTGGCAGGTGAGGAGAAAGGACATGGGAGAGCCGGGCAACCGTGCTTCACACGTGACCGTGCGTTCTCCACAAGTGAATGCGCCGACAGGATAAGCAGCTACTGGGAGACAAAGTCCTGAGCTCACGGGGTGACACGCCATCGACTGCGCCTCCTCCTACTAGCAGGAAGTGGCGTGCTGGTAAGAAACATGGTACTAGCCACGGCTTAGTGAGGAGAGAGGGAACTGAGTCCCGAAGCTCAGAGTGCAGGGTTAGTGTTAAGAGGCAGGAGCACGTGCGTGGCGGGGCCGTTCAGACCATCCGGAAAGCCCTTTGGCTGTGGGTGTGTCAGCAACCCCCACCTGGGGATTGTTCTACGTGGCTCTGGGGCTGGGAGGCTCCTAGTACAGATGTCAACACACATGTCCTGAGGCCGGAAGGCCTCACACCTGTCCGTTACTCACAACACACACTCCCCACACTGCCACGTCCAAGGCAGGGGAGGGATTAGATGGCATCTTTCTCGGCTCCCGGAGGGCGAGCGCTGGCTGGGGACCTCTCCACCGGGGGAGGCATCATCTGCCCGCAGACTGGGACTGTGGGGTCATGATCACATGCGACTGTATTGGCATGCTCAGTTCTGTCCTTTGGCTGGCCATTTGAGTGAGGACTGAGGTGGCCACAGCTTCAGCTGCAGAGCGAACGCTGAGGCCATTGCTAGGGGCTGTTGCCGAGCTGTGCTGAATCACAGGGGCTGGAGAGCCCGTCGGCTCTGAGCTTTCCTTGGGGCTTTCTGTCAGAGGGAGGGCAAAGAGCAGAGAACAAGTGGTTAGAAAGCAGAATGGGAAAATAATTCCATAGGAGCCCAAAATACAACAAAGCCCATTTTTGAGGGGGGAGTGTACATTACCCATTTTCTTGGCTCCTAAGTTATAAATGGCTAAGAAATGGAAATTAGGAGAAGGGAGGCAAGAAACAGGCCCAAATTAATCTATCTATCCCAATGAAACAAATCCCTACCATATTAGTTACACCATGTGGCTTCGAGGTCTTTGTGTAGTTCATTATCCCTGCTGAAACACTCTTCTTATTCCTGTGTTTATATGTGACTTAAAATGGATCTCTCTTTAGCTAGCCTCTCTGTAACTGTCACAAGAATTGGATCATAACATTATTTTTAATGTTCTTTTAGTATGTAGTTACAGCACAGGTAAGCCTGATAAATACCAAGGTACATTCCCACAACGTTATAAATGACCAGTCCTTGGTCAAGGTTCAGTTAACATGACAAACTACAGAAGAGGTACTGCTAGGCCTGCTGACTATCAATTAGCTGGGCGTTAATGATTTAACACATTTTTTATGAGCAATGCCTCTCCACCGAAAGTGACAATAACATTTTACTGCTAAACACACCTACTGAATCAGTCAAGGAATCTTACTAAATATCAGACAGACTCTATGCCTGCTTAGGCAGTGATGTGTGGAATTAGGGCCTAGTCTTCTTTCAGGAACCACCTCCCCTGTGAGCTCTGTCATGCTCAGAAGTTAACTGTCAATGTTTGTGCCTTCAGAGCACACATTCCCCAAATCCGTACCAAGCACTGAGTACAGGAAGAGTAAACTGGGAGCCCTGTGCTCAGGGAGCCCCTGTCCGAGGGCTGACTGGCGGGGAGAGCTGTGCTTCTCTCACTCAAGGGGCACGTGTTTATCTTCTCAGAACACTGCTAATATCTCAGAGCAGGGGCCTGGTCTCAGTGGTCTTGTGTCAAGTGCCCACGCGAAGTCTACACTACCAGCAGAACTAAGTATGGCTTTGCCGGGACAAACAAGTAGCTTAATGGATTGACCAGCCCGCCAGAGTCTTTCCAGGGACTGAGTCTGAAGCTCCACTGCAGACAGATCCCAGACTACCAAGCAGTCACGTCTCCACGAGCCACCAAGAGGAGCCCACCGAAAGGGCCTGAAAGTCTGGTCCCCGTGAAGCTCCCAAGACACTTTCCTATCGCGGCTTACAGGACGCGGAGCTGCCCAGCTGGTTTTCCTCCCGCCTTCTTGCTCATTCTCGATCTCTTTTGTAGGCTTCTTCTCATCTCTGACCTCTAACTGTCGGTGCACTCTAGGGTTCAGTTCCAGCACCTCTCTTTTTCTACCGCTGTGCTGTCCCTTGATGATGACATTCCATCCACTTACACGGCTTTAAAAACTAACGCTAGCACCCAGAGCTGCACCCCAGGCCTACAGCTGAGCTGCAGACCTAGATAACCAATTACCTGCTTGGCACTCTCATCGCAAGCCTAACAAGAGCCTGCCCAAAGGTGAGCCTCCAGTGCACCTCCCCACCACTGTTCTGCTGCACTGTCCCACAGCTCGGTGCATGACACTTTGTTGCAGTTGCTCAGCCTAAAAATATCAGGGCAACTTTTTCTTCTTCTTTTTCTCAGATGGAACACCCCATCTAGCTAGTCACTGAACTGTCTCTGAAGAGAAGAACGTGTCTGAATGAAACCCTGCCCGCCACCTGTGCTCCCGCCCTCCTGGGCCCAGGCCGCATGGGCTCCTGCCTGTGGGGCAGGGCCTCACCCTGTGCACGGTCTGCCCCTGCTCGTGGCTGCTTGCACTCGCTCACAGAGGGCTCCTGGCCAGACAGAGGCCAGATCAGCCACATCACTGCTCTACGGAACTCTCTGAGGGTCCTGAGCGAAGAGTCAAAGCTAAGGTCCTCTGCCACTAACGAGGAGCTATGAGACATACACCCCTTCCCCCACTGCTCAATCTCCAATGACGCTCCACTCCGTTGTCCCTCGAATCCAGTCTCGCCAGGCTCTGGTGTTCTAGATGGCACACTCCTATTTTGGGCCTTTGCATTGCTGTTCTTTCTACTTGCAGAATTTTTCTCCCATGTAAATGCATGGCTAATCCCCTCACTTCCTTCAAGTCTTTATTCAAAGGCCACCAGAGCTCAAATTTCAACCTTGCTGCCAACACTTTATATTCCTCTTCCCTGCTTTATTTTTTACTCTAAACATTTACTATTATCTAATATAGCAGATACTTACCTATCTATCTGGTTTTACTGTCTGTCTCACCTACTTAAATAGCTCTCTGTTAGAGACAGCCCTCAAGGGGTGGGATTTAATCTAATCTGCTTGGTTCCTTATTATTTCTCAGAATGTAAAACAGTACCTGGTACTGAACAGGTTCAGTCAGTGTCTTCTTAATGAATGAACATTCCCTGAGCTACATATTAAAGCTAAACATTTAAGGAGATGTGTTTAAAACTGGTGATCTGGTTACTCTTTTCCTATGGGACACATCTCTAAAATAAGAGTGGAAATAATTCAGTTGGTCAAAATGAATCTATTTTAAATTATTTTTTTAAAAAAGATTTATTTATTTGTACAGAACTGGGGTACAGGCCAGAAGCTCAGGGGTGGCGAGAGGCTTCACCAGAGACAGAGTGGGGAACAGAACAGGCAGATCGATGAAGTACACTGCTGAGGGGAGCAGCGGGCGGGCCAGGAGAGGTCTGCCACGCCATGTGGTCACCTCCGGGACAGGCGGGGATCGAACTCATGCAGAAGTAGCTCTAGATTCTCAGTGCTGTGCTTTAACCCGCTGCGCCACCAGGGAGGGCCTAATCTATTTTAATTTTAAGGGGAACATTATTAGCTTCTGCTGTCCATAAACAAATGGTTAACAGTATTAACTGCAGCACTGTGCTTGTCATGAGGTGGCTGCGGCCATCTCTAACGCTATTCAGTGTGTGCTCGTGGGACATGAATCTTGGCCCCACCACATTCCCAGATGGGTGATAAGTGACTGAGAGCAGTTTTGTCATGGAGGCAATCTCATAAGAGAATTAGGAAAATGGTGAAAAGACACTCAATAAGTACTGTTACCCTTCATCTCCAACTATGATAGACAATTAGGATAACAATTGCTAACAAAAAAGTTTTTTTCTTGGGCCTCCCTGGTGCCACAGGGGTTAAAGACACACAGCATTACCAAGCTGTCTGCAGCCACTGAAGTATGAGTCTGATCCCTGGCCAGGGAGTGACCCACAGGGCTCAGCAGACCTCTCCTGTCTCCCCGCTGCTCCCCTTAGCAGTGTGTTTCAGGTCTGCCTGTTCTGCTCTCCGCTCTCACCCCTTGCACCTCTGGCCTACACTACAGTTCTTGTGTACATAAATAAATAAATATTTAAAAAAAAGATGTTTTTCTTGGTGGACTGGCTACTTCACAAAGGCTGTTCACTAATCAGTCTGGAGCTCCCCAGAACATTCAGAACAGGATTAGAGGACACAATGCAATAGCTGATTGACCTTGCTTAGATTATGAGTCACTCACCTAGGTAGCCTTGGGTCTTTTTCTGTAGTGCAGTAACTGGACAGTCTTTATGAGCTAACAAAAGCTGTTTCAACTGAGCCACCTCATTGCGTAGTAACGTGACTTCATTCTGAGGAGAGAGGGAAGAAGAGAGTACTAAGAAAATTTATCCTCTGATCTTGGGCCCCCATGGCTGTCTCCAGAGTCAGGACAGAATACTGCGTGGATTTTCTCTACTGAATCTGGGAAAAACGCCTGATCCAGCAGGCTCCAGAGAGCCCAGGGCTAGTAGAGTCATGAATTCCATGATAGGCACCGTTTAACGTGAAAATATAGGGATTTAAATAGAAAAATGACTCTTATGTAGGGTAACTATGGTCATACCAAAATTAATAATGCATGTCCTTTCCCTAAAAAAGCCTACTCACTGAATCTGCTAAACAGAACTATGTACTCATGTGCATACAATGCTCACTGTACCTTTTTATTCTAGCAAAAACTTGGAAACATACATAGCCATACTTTACAATATAACTGCACTACAGAATGTACTAAGCTATTTAAAATAAGCCTATGTATGTGCAGTATGTGTATATATTCCTAAGCATCATTATCTTTGCAATGAAATATATTCATAAATAATCAGGAGAGGAAATATCCGATAAGCTATCTAGATTATAATTGTTCTGTACTTGTGTGGTTTTTCTTTATTATTATGAGCAAATACATTTTCCTTTGGGTGATTCCATGACCTAGTCAGATTCTGTCGACGTTAAGAGACACCCTGGGATAATCTAATTCTCTTTATCCAAATGAGCCTGTGGGCGCCTCATTCTAGTAGCAGACAGGGGAGCAGACAGTGTCCTTCCACACATCTGGGGAGAGGTCTTACTGCTACTACATTGCTCCTGGGACATCTGGCTCTTTCCCAATTTTAAGCATCACCTATCTTCTACTCCAACTACTTCTGATCCAGTCGGACTTTCCAGACAGAGCCACCCCAGCCAGCACCCTCACCCACTCACACTCAGCTGAATGTTCTGAGATGTGAGCTCCTCTGCCTTTTTCTCCAGGGAGGACACCCAGAGCTTCCGCTTCTGACGGCAGCGGGACGCCGCAGCCCGGTTACGCTCCAGAAAGCGCTGACGCCGCTCATCTGGGTCTTCATCCACCGTGCGCCGCCTTCGCCCTCCGGTGCTAGGCGTGGGCTGGGCTGGGGACACCTGTTGCCCAGGAAGGAAGAGGTTACCTGATGGGAATGTCAACACTTCCCAGTTAGGACTGGCACCAGGCAGACTCGTAAGACCTGGTAAAGGGATGTAGCAGCCTCTGGTAACTACACCAAGCCCCGGCAATATGTCCCTTAGAATCTCTGCAGTAGCTCCGCTTTCTTTCCAGTCTTCTCAGGGCCAATCTTAAGATAAATCACAATTTAGTTGGAAAGTGATTATTTCTGAGGCAAACAGAAAAAAATGAAACTAGGGTCACTAATGTCTTAACAATAAGGAATCTTGTAGTCAGGCAAGTCTAATGGGGGAGGTATCAGGAAAACTGGAAGAAAAAGGGTTAAGATTCACGGATTGCAGAAGCAATACTATAAACAACTGCACACTACAACAACTTTCAGAAAAAGATAATAAGAATGCTTATTCATTTTACTGCCAGTGAGATATGGGCTAGCATGGAGAAACAGAGATCAGTAGACACTCTTGCTTATAATCGGTTATTAATCATCACCAGCAAGTCATTTCCTTGTTTGTTCTGTTTCTTTATGGAACAACAACAACAAAAATTTTAAATCCTCTTACATACTGGTGCTAAAAAACTGTCCTTTGTTTTTAAATTTCAGGCTGATGTCCCTTAGTCACTAAGGCACTTTTGGGTCTTTTTCCCTTTCTCTTAGCTGGCATGTGTTTAGAGATTCTATATTTTTATAAATTTTGTAATAGAGGCCAAAATTAAAACGTAGAGAGGGCAATCATCTAAAGGAAAGAAACTAGATAACATAAAAAAATCAATGCCAAAAATAAGCTCTTCTTGCACGGCGGCTAGTAGCAATGTTTGAATTAGTAAGCTCCCTGAGCCAGCGCTCACATCAGCTGCGTGAGAATAAGCATGGCTTAGAAAGATACCGTTTCACACTCCACTTTGGGTCCTACTGAATCATGCTCTCCACTAATACAGATAATCAGGAGAAAGTTTTATTTAGTCAAACTAACATTATTTCTCCTAGAAGAAACAAAATAGAGAGAACATTTCGAACTCAAGGAGTTCAGGGCCTTGGGTCATAGCTTCTCACTGACATTTACTCTAGTGCTCTGGAGATTTTCAGTTTCCTTTGTCCTGAGCTCATTGGGGCATATAAAGATTGGCACTTTAGAGGAAGGAAGAGTAGAAGGCACGGACAGGCTGCTATTTGCTCAGAGGCAATGCAGTAATGCATGCAGGGAAAGGGGGTGAAAGAGTCAGGGGAGGGGGTGCGACCTGGGGCAGGGAGGTGTGTGCCTGCCAAACCAGGTGGCAGCAGCAGGAATGAGCAAAGGGGCTGGCAAAGGATGGCCCTCTGGAAACCAACCTTAAGGTGTCAGCTGCCTGGTATGATATGAAACTGGGGTCTATTCAGCATCCAAAAAACCTTATTAAAACAGCCTGAGACCTCCTTGAGAAAGGAATGGGGCACCCCTGGTTTATCTAAGACTAACTTGTTTGTGAGGAAAGGGATTAAGTTGGTAAGGGAAAGGTATTTTTCCTGATACTCATCTAGTGAGCCATCTTACTATCACTATTATTTTTGAAGTTTTATTTTTGCATAGAAGGACTGTGGTACAGGCCAGGGGTGTGGAGGTGAGAGAGGACTCACCAGAAAGAGTGGGGAGCAGAACATGCAGCTCTACTGAAACACACTGCTGAGGGGGCAGTGGGGAGACAGGAGAGGTCTGCTGCGCCCTGTGGGTCACTCTCTGGCAGGGATAAAACTCAGGCAGTGATGGTGACAGCACTGAGACGTAACTGCTAGGCCACCAGGGAGGCCCCAGTGAGCCATCTTAACACTGTGACATCATATTTTGTTAACATTTGTTTATTATTTGATTTTTGCTATCAAATCTAAGGCAAGCTTTTTTTGGTTTGATTCTGTAAGATTTAACAGATGGGAAGCTTCTAGGGGAGCCTTTCTGTGGTGTACAATGTGGTTTGAAGGGAGATTCTGTCACATTTTGGAGAATTCATCAGCTGTATCATTCACATACTGAAAAAAAACAAAAAAACCTGAGACTCCTCTGTGACAGTTCTGCATTGTCCGGCTGCTGTGTGAGAGTGTAACGCAGGGTAAGGAAGAAGGTGCCTTTTTCTACTGTCAAGCTGCCAAAGAGAACGAAGCACAGGCAGACACCTAAGCAAGCTCAACCATCCGTTCTTCCCTCATCGTTCCGCTCCTTGAGCACAGAACAGCTGGCTCCCCTGGCCGAGGCCCACTGACCTGTGGCTGGGCAGGGGACGGGGCATCAGGGTGCTGGACGAGGATCTGACTCTGCTCCGGGCGTGCCGTCACCAAGGTGCTGGCAGTGCCGACCACCATCCCACAGCCGCCATTGACTGAGGAGGCCTGTTGGGTTAGGGTAGCCTTAAGTCTCTGTGGGGAAAGACAAGCGAGAATGGCCTTTCAAGGGTGGGAAGCGTGCCTTACCAACTTTACAGAGAGCTGGAATCTCCATATCAATTTTCTCTTATCAGAGAAATTAAAAGAAAATGTCCGGGAGACAGAATGAGCACCTGCATCTCCAAAATGCCTCCTCTGTCCCTGGCTATCATCCTGGGCACAGTTGGAGGGTGGGGGTGGCTGCAGCAATAGAGTCCAGATGAGAGCGCTCTCCTGGCGCCTGGCCAGAAGCTGGCTACACAGCTATTCACCTCTTGGCCAGCTCTCCTGCCCACTCATCCCCTCTCCATCTGTCGCCCTGGAACTGAAACAGCAAGTGTTCCACACCAAACAATCTGTGCTGCCTCTTTTTATGGTCACAGTCTATGCACCAGGTTTTAAAGGTAGGCGAAAAGAGATACGAGTCATGAATCAGTCTTTTCTTCTCCAGATCCACAACAGGGTGTCTTTAGCTTTGCAAGAACCAGACAGTTCCTCTGCTTCACTCACTCAATAACCTCAGACTGATACCACTTTTAGGCGGGTCTACAGCGCCTCAGGCTGGGATGTACTCACCATCTTGGCTTCTGATGGCACAGGGTGGCCAGAGGGAGAAATGGAGCCACTGCTGTTAACTGGTGGGCCAGGGATACCAGGAATGTTGGGTACCAGAGACACAGGTCTGGCCAGCTGGATCAAGGAAAAAAAAAAAAAAACCAGAGGGAACATAATACTACTGGTGGGACAACGGCTTTCCAAATTAAGCGCTTTTGACATTGGCATGTTAGGGCCTGCTCTGCGCAACCCGCCCTGAGGGCATGCAGGGACAGTGTGGGGTGGATGCCCTCCCATGGAGCGCCACAGAATAAGGAATCAAATCCTTCAGCGCCTAAGAGTTCCTGTGGTAAAGGCTGGGGCTGTGTCTTAGAGAAAGTGGGGGACAATTTCAAAGATACTAGGTGCCAAGTGAAATCACCCAATCAGCAAGCTGGCAAGATCAATTCCTGACCAAGAGCCAACTGTCCAGATGAGTCTTTTCTAGTGTTCCGTGGCGCTGGACTGGCAGAGGTTTGAGAAGAGTCTGGGCAGGCTGCCATGCTCAACCGATACAGACCACAGGCCACATTTCCCTGGGGCTCATGCATGCTTATGAGCATTCAGGTGGAAGGGAGGCTGGTGTGCCGAGAGGGCTGGCGGCCCCAACTCCAGTGCTCACCGATATAACAGAAGGCATCTGTACCGGAGGCCCTGTCAGCACAGGCATGGTCTGTCCATTAGCAAGATGCATGACGAGAGGGAGGGAGCCAGTGGGAGACCTAGAGGTGAACATGAGGTACAATGCTCAGAATTCAGATCCTTCGCCCATGGAGCTTTCTCCTATAGGTTACAGATTTTCCAGTCTTCTCAGAAAAGTTACAGGGTATCTTCAAGGGAATTTTGACACCTTCATGAAAGTGGAAAAAGCAAGGAAACCTACTTACCTTACCTTACGATGAGAGAAATGGCAAGATTTTTACAACGGAAGCAAGTGTCACTGAACTCAACTGCGTAGGAACCTAATCCCATTAAAAGTTCATGACAGGCCTCCCTGGTGATGCAGGATTAAAATCTGAGCACTATGAAGCTGTCTGAGCCACTGCGGCACGAGTTCGATCCACCGGCAGGGAGGGGCCCCCAGGGCACAGCATATTCTCCTGTCTCCTCACTGTTGCCCTCAGCAGTGGATTTCAGTAGATCCTCCTGTTCTGCTCCCCACTGTCTCTGGTGAGTCCTCTCACCCCCACACCTCTGGCTTGGACCCTAGCTCTTGAAGGTATAGATGAATAAATTCTTTTTAAAAAGTTTACGACAGTTATATATACATCCCTGCCACTGGCATATATAAATTCTGTCATGTCTTACTTAGCTAAACAAGACTTGGCCCAAGTTGACATTTTGCAAAGCTGAATTATGTCGTAGGATAGTCAAGTTCGAGTAAGTTTCTCTGGTTCCTTTCCATGTTTTGCTCTACTATGCCTGAAAAAGAAGTCATTCCTTTGCACTTTCTTACTGGACCCAGAAAACAGCATGTTTTTTAAAGAGCTAAATACAACAATACACTCTTAACCCACAGATCTCTGAGGAGATTTCAAGTCATCCCTCAGGAAATCTTTCTGGGCCACGCTAGGAGTGAAGACAGACAGAAAGACAAAGCTAGAGTACCAATGACCCAGACTGCAGCTGAGAGGAATGAGAGGAACACTCACTCAAACAGATGACTTAGGGGATGGGTTTTACCACTCATTCAGTGGTGCCCAACAAACTTCTCGGTGATGTGGCCAAGAACTAAAAAATAATACACCCCACGTGGCCTCCCCATTATGATGGAATTCCTGAAGTTCGGAGGATCTTACTTTAGGTTAAGGAAGCATTAAACTTCCAAATTAAGAAATATATCCCTAAATAAATACTCATTGTCGACTAAATCAATAAGGAGATTCTGTTTGGGAGGATTTATTCTGAAAGACAACACTGTTTATTCATTTTCCTCAAACACTCAAATCAGTCCCTGTCTAATCACAGCTTCACAACGAGGAAAAGAGATCCAGGCGCCGCTGTTTCTTCCTGCTTTCTTTACTTACCCAAGCTGTCTGTTGGATGGTGGCGCCTGTGTGATGACGGAAGTCGGGGAGGGAAGGGTCGGGTGAAGTGGATCGTAGCCCAAGTGGAGAGGCAGGGACCCAGGGCGTACGATGGTGGGCGTAGGGGTAGAGATCACAAGAGGCTTTGGGGCAACTTCCTGGGGAGAAGAGACCCACAGATCACAAAAATGCTATCAGGGGTTTCTTGGAGGGAAATACACAGTGTATAAAATCTAGTACCCATTTACTAGAAAGGGCATTCTGTAAATCGTGACCTGATTCCACAGATGGTGGATCCAAACTGCACTCACCCATTCAGTAGGGACAAGTTCAGATCTTTTAGCTATGTCCTTTCAGGGGTGATGGCAGCAAGAGTCGAAGACAGCTGAGAAAGCACTTAAAATCTTTTTTGAAACACCAGTACCACACGGATCCTATGGACTGTTACACATGTTCACCATCTCGAAACCCCCATTTTAAACTGGGTGCCCAAGTGCCCTCTGAGCTCTGGAGGTGCTGGGGGGGACAGGGCTGGTGGTCTGACATCTCTTAGACCCTCAAAGAAAGGGCTGTGAAAGTCTGAATAATGACCCTATTATAATAAAGCCAACTGCCTCCCACTCTTAACTTGTTAGGAGTTTAACCTGCCTGTGGCTACACTGCCACACCCGGGCCCCAATCTCAGCCCCCCTGCTGATGAAAAGGGAAGTGGAAGGGAACATTGTAACACTTGTGGAGGGTCAGTTCCCAGACATTATCAAATCAAGTCTGGAGGGAGGTGGCTGAGTGCCCCTTTCTACAGAGGCACTGGGAAAGCAGCAGACTGGAGGCAGCGAGAGGACCTTGGGTTTGGCGACACTGGCTGTCAACTTTGTTAAAATTCAGGGAGCTGTATCCTTATAATTTATGTACTTTTCTGTGTATATGCTATATTTTGATAAATTTATGATAAAAAGTAACACTTCATCAGAAGTTTCCTTTAACAATAATAATCAGAGAATAATCAGAGTCCCAGTGGGTAAGACACCACGAGTTACTAGAAGACTTCTCTGGGGAAGATTTTTTAAAAAAATAATGTGATAGTTTATTTTTACATCATTTTGTGCCTTTTTCCATCTCAGTTGTAATCCCGTGGGCTTCCCATCACCAAATCACCCGTGTGCCATCGCCACAGTCCAGTGCACTCCCCCCTCCACACCATTTTTGATCCTATTCCCCACTCCACCCTCTTGGGGGAAGATTGTTATTTTCTAAATCGCTTAAGGTCCAATTGATGGATTATGATTTTTCTTTTTCATTTACGTGAAGTATAACATACAGAAAGTGCACTAATATAAAGGATACAACTAAGTGACTTTTTATGTATATCAGTGATGGCAGAGTTCATTTCCATGATCACAGGTTCCCCTCTGTTCCTTTCTAATCCATATCTTCCGTCACAGGAGGTAACCTTATTCTGAGTTTAATTATTATCAAATAGTTTTGCCCTTTTTGAACTGATTTAAATGCAATCATACGGTATGCATGTTAATGTCTGAATTTTGTTGTGTTCAATAAAACACTTATGCGATTCACCCACACTGCTGTGTTTAACATTAGCTCATCTTTTTCCACTTTAGAAATAAACCAGGTGTGTTCTCTTGGGCACAGGGCTCCTGTAGTTTTTGGACCATTAGGACTGCAACTACCATCAACTTTCTTACATCATAGTTTTGGTGGGCAGATGCATTAACTCTCTTCCTACAGATTTAGAAGCAGAATTGTTAGGTCAGAAAACAGGCATGGTTTAGATAAGTCTTTCAAGTAACAACATGTGTTTCATCATTCCTGTTTACGTATTATTTACACAATGAATAATCAAAACTCAACCTGTCAACTGACATTTGGGGTGAGTTTTGGTAGAGGATTTTTACCTTCTCCTTGAGTGGGGGAGAGCAGGGGCCGGAGGCAGGGCTGTCAGGTGGGGATGAGTCTACCTCTACTGGCTCTTCCTCTTTGATTTTGATGTCTGGTGTGGAAGGTAGAGACATATCAAGGGGCCCAGCAGCAGCCTGTTAAAAGAGAAATGAGTAAAGTTCAACCCATTGATTTTGCTTAGGTTGAATCTGCACCTTTCCAGTTAAAGAATGAGGGAAATGTATTTTAAGATCATATCTTGGTCAAAATACTGAACTGAAAATCAAAGAAACATGGTGTCTGGGTTTTATGTACAACTCTGGCCAAATCATTTTAACTTCTCAGGGCTTGTTTCCCTGACTATAAAATGGAGGTGACATCTGCTTCACTATGGTTGAATACTTATAAAGACCCTGATAGAAAAAACAAAAATATGTCACCCACACAATGTTTAAACCCACGCAAACACTACTATATTCTTTTCCAGGGAAGTAAACTGACTTCTGAATCTACTGCCTGTCTGTTCCCAACCAGTTCTGCTGGCTACTAGAGAGCTGTAAATGTTTTTTCTGCCAACCAGAATGACTCAATTATCAAAGGCAAACAGAGACAAATTAGCTATGAAAGCCCTGTAAACAAGACATGGAGATCTTTTTTGGGGAACTCTTTCATGGTGAACTTACCCCAAATCTGCTGCTACGGTTTAAAAGTTAGAAAGACAGGGTCTTGGGGTAACAAAGAAAGTAAAGGCTGATCATTTGATATCTAAAAGAAATTAGAACTCTAAGGAGCAGGACTAGAGAAAACCAGTATGGACAGAAGACACTTTTCTGGCAATGACGCAATCACTTCACAGAACTGAGGAGCCAAAAATGGCTTTGCGGGGAACACTAACCCCTGGAGACAGTGGCCCTGACCGAGCGCCACGACAGGTGGGATGGGCTTGCAGCTCAGTTTCATGACAAAGTAGATCCTTTGTTCCATTCTTTACATATCCTAGGTTTCCTGGTGAAGGAAGTTTTCTTCCCTCGAGTCTTCTCCTGCTACCCTAATCCCTAGAAATCTTGGCATTGAGAAGGCTACAGATAATCTGCTGCTCACTACACTAGAGAAGATATTAATGATTCTTTCTCTCCATATGATTGGGATGAGCAACAGCAATAATGGTTTCATGCCTGCTTTCATTTTTCTACATGGCTAAGATGTCAGGCCCAAGTGACCTCATTCTGGGATCCTTGAAGTCAGAGGATTGGGGGGCGGGGGGGAGAGGTCTCTGAGGAGATACAACCACAGGCTTAGGGTGCCTCAGGGGCATTGCCTAGAGAAGCAGTGGTTCAGTAAAGTGTTAGGTTATTAAACATTCCTGGAGACATTCCAGTGCTTCTGCATCTCCTCAAGTGGAGCTGAAGTTCATCTCTGTACGGGCAGGAAGAGACACCAATGGATACCCATCGAATAAAGGCCTGCCCACTATGAAGAGCCTTCAGATGTGGCACATTAGCTAAGATGTGGTGGTGGAAAAAACTTGCTGCTTTTGGAAGGAGGCCAATTTTCTTGACTTTGCCTACAATGAATTTGGTTTCAAATCCCTCACATCCTGGTGAAGACCATTTGACCGATTTCTTTGATTTGGGAGTGGGAGATGAGACAGGGTAGCTGTAAAATAAAATTATAGTATGTAAACTGAAGCAACTAAGAGATGAGAGACCTGGGTTTCTGAAGAAAAAGAGTGATGAGAAAACCAGATAATCCTGCCATTTGTTAGCAAAACTCACATACATGTCACTGAGTTTCCTCACTTCATGCTAGTGTGAGAGACAGAGCTTTAAGGAAAGCCACAGAACACTGGGTGACCTGGAAAGCCTCCCTGATGGTAACACTTTGTCTCGTCTTCTTACAATTTACACTAGTTGGAAAAAGCCTGCAGAACTGTCTTGGCTCATCTGCTGTCTCCCTCTTAAAAGGAAAGAGCTCCCTGGAAATCTTTTCTTATCACATGACCTCCCTAAAATCTGATGGGATTCATGCTTCTTTGCTCCCAATAACTATGCAAGGTCCATGTATTAAAGAGTACATATTTTGAGAGAGAGAGAGAGAGTGGGGTTTTTCTGAATTACCAGGAAACACAGACCTGATCTTAAATAGTAAATAATAACTGAGAATTCAAATTCTAAAATAAATTTTGACCTTTCCAGTTTCCTTTTACCCCAAGCCCCTTGTTCTGTAGAAACTAGTTTTCTTTGACACAGATTCTGGAGTTTTCCCTCAGGTTTTCCAAACTAAAGAATTCCCTAGTGATCTAGAATATAAAGACAAAAATCAGAATCATAGCTCCTCAGAATGTGAAGGGATTCCAACATTTTAACCTTCTTACACATCTATGCTGAAGAGGCCTACACATAACTGACTACACTTTTTGGCAGTTTATGCCTGTTGGTCACAATTTTACCTTTGGGAAACATAGAATTTAACTTTTACATGAAAGTTCTTCAAGTATCTGAAGACTGAAATTTTTTTCATACTAATTTTCCCTTTTCCAAGCAAAATTTCAACTTCTTTAGATGTTCCTGAAGTTCTTGATCTCCTTTGAAAGGCATTAATAGCATCCTCTTTAAGTTAAATGTCTTAAATATTATCAGAAACATACCTGAAAGCTACAATCAATGAAACAAAGACGAACTACAGTAAATATTTTGATTTGCTGACTGAATGAAAACAACCCTGGTGGAAGCTTGATTAGCTCAGAAAAGGGTGGAATATTATGGGGAAAAAAGTCCAACAAAGTATGAGTAATTTATAATATTGCTGTACCTACCACATTTTCAGAACACCAACATAAAGTATACTGAACTGCCACCCTCCACTGGGCGAGAAAGAGACCGCCTGTTGGAAAAATCTGGCTCGGGCTGACTCAGCACCTGGGGGCCTAACGTTCTGGGTAGCTGGCTAAGGTTAGAGAACAGCCTAGTTCTGCGGCACCAAGTGCACAATCTTCTGCTTTAACCAATTAAGCCAGTTATCCCCAGGGCACAAAGAAAATGGCCTACATCTGAACACCAGTTTCCCAGTCAAAGTGCTGTCTCTTGCCTTTTTATCCTCTTCATCTGTAGCCTTCTTGAATTCATGTTCAAAGGAGCTAGCCAGTTCATTGAAGAGCCCCACTTCCTCACAGTTCTTCAGGAATCTAGTTGGGGTAGGAGTTTGATCTGTAGTCATGAAAAGAAAACTCAATTTTAGTTTTCCCTTTTCCAAGCAAAAATTCAATTTCTTTAAATATTCTGAAGTAGCATAATTTCTAGTTCTGAAATTACTAAAACCTGAGTGTATATGAAGAACTGATCTTTAATGATTGCAGAGAGTCTGAGTTAGGGCAAATCAGCTGGCCTGCAGCGGCCAGCAACAGACCAGCAGAGGGTGTCTGTGCTGTGTTGCCTCAAGGCCAGCAGAGGGAAGACAGAACAGCGTTCTGTTGTGTGACTATCCACAGAACCAACTTTCTCCCAAAGGTGGTTTCATGTCCCTCACCCCTAAACAAAACCAAACCACCCACCCAGGCGGAGTTTGGAAAACCTCCAGAACCGAAAATCAAGCCTAGTTCAGTGATATCTTTCCTTTAAGTTCACGCTAGGTCTGAAGTAAGAGGTATGAGAGGATGGATGTTAAAACCTGATTAAGAGTGAGAACCAGATAGTCGAGTTTGCTTGCTAACCCTTACATATGAGAAATGGTGCCTTGTCTTTCAGTGGTCACTGAGGTAAGGGTCTGTTACTTCTAAAGGCATTTCAGGCAAATCTAGGTGCTGGAAAACAAGAAAGCAGGACCATGAGCTAGAAAAACAAACTAAACAACCCAGCTTATTTCACAGAGACTTGGGGTGAGAGCAAATTCTGGAAAACCAAACTATTTGGATTTCGATTTGTTAGCCAAAGTATTCTCTCATGGGCTCTATAAACCGTTGCCCAACACAGTGCCTCTGCCCTTGGGAAGAGGAGGGCTCTGGGTAACCCCATGAACCATTTCAAACAATATGAATTATTTTTATTTTTATTTATTTTAAAGATTTATTTACTTATGCATACAGAACTGGGGTACAGGCCAGAGGTATGGGGGTGGTGAGAGGCTTCACCAGAGACAGAGTGGGGGGCAGAACCAGCAGACTGATGAAGTCCACTGCTGAGGGGAGCCACGGGCAGGAAGAGGCCTGCTGTGCCCTGTGGTCGCTTCCCTGGCCGGGGATCAAACTCGCGCTGAAGCGGCTGCTGCTAGCTTCACAGTGCTGTGCTTTAACCCGTTGCGCCACCAGGGAGGGCCTGAATTTTATTAAAGTTTAATTTCTGGACAATATATTGATGATTTCTCCCCTTACTGCGCTAGCCAGTTCTCCCACCAAAGAGCCCACAGTCCATCATCATGGCTGCCTGTGCTCTTGCCACCCACTGCCACCCTCTCTCACCTGCCCCCCGCCTCCTCGCACGGATGCCGCTCACCTACGATTGCCTTTCAAGACTTGCCTTTGTCTCGCCCTAGGGTGTCTCTGCACTGCACACAGCAGTGGGCCCATCTGATGTTTGTCTTTTCCTCCTGGCTTACTGTACTTAGCATCAACCCTTCCAGCTCCATCCATGCTGCCACAAGTGGCAGGAGCTGCTCTTTCCAGATCCTGAGCAGTATTCACAGTGTGAGCTTTAGATCAGAGCTTCTCCTTTGCCATCCTGCTCTTCTAGTTTTCCTCTCTGATCCTAAGTCTGCTGTGGTGGTTTTACTTGACACATTAGTCAGGCTACAGGATCACTGCAGAGCCCAAGCCACTAGACCGAATGACAGAAATGGAATGATATTTAAGGAGCTTGACCTGGGGTTAAATAGCACCTTTTAGTATGATCAACTGAGAATAGTCCAGTGGGACTTTCCATGGAAACAACATAATTTGAAAATATTTAAACAAAAATTCCCCTGAATCACAGTGTTTGGAAACATTACCATTACCTCCCAAAACAGTTTTAAAAAGTTCTTCAGCAGCTTTGGTTGGCCAGTGATAAAGCTACTTTTTCTCCATCCCCGGGTGAGCAGAGGTCATGTCACCCTTTCTGCTCAGAGTACTGCCGTCATGGCACACACAAACATCACAGCTCATGTGGACCAGCATGGGGCAGTTGAGGGCATGGCTATGACGAGAGAGGGCCTCTTGGGTCTCTAGGTTTCACACAGAATTCTCCCATTCCTGAACAAAGAGCTAAATTGTTTGAAAACAGAAACCCTCAGTCTGTCCTCATGATTCCAAAAGAATCAGTGAGTGTCTAACGAATGCTTCCGTGTGTCTGGGTGCTACATGCATACACTTGTGTGTGCAGTCAGAGGAAAGATGGGAAAAGAGTGTGGGAACTTTGCCCAAATATAAATCCTGACATTTGCCCTAGGGAATTAGGAGAATGTTTTCCAGTTGAGGAAATAAAATTAATATATGCAGATATTGATTGTCACAGCATACAACCTATTCCCTCCCTCCCCCCAAAAAAAAAACAAAAACAGGTGACATTATGTATAGAGGCTAAATTGTTGGAGAAATTAAGACAAACTAATGACAGAGTTCTTAGGAAAGGTTTCAAGAAGTGGGACTTGAGAGCCTCACTGATGGCACAGAGTGTTAAAGCACAGAATTACAAAGCTATGTGCAGCTGCTTCAGCACGAGTTTGATCCCAGCTCTGGTGGTGACCCACAGGGCACAGCAGACCTCTCCTATCTCACCTGCTGCTCCCCTCAGTCAATCAATCTACCTGTTCTGTTTCCCACTTTGTCTCTGGTGAATCCTCTCACTGCCCCTGCACCCCTGGGCCTGTACCCCAGTTCTGCATGCATAAATAAATAAATCTTTAAAAAAAAAAAAAGTGGGACTTGAGCCAGCCTTTAGCTGTGAGAGATCACACAGCAGAACGGCAGGTGACGACACAGAGAGAGAGACCAGGCATGGACACTGTATTGATGAGGAGAAAAAGGTATGTCTAAGTTAAAAGAGCATCATATTAGGCATGTAAGTTGTTTACAGAATTGAGTGTATACCATGGGGCTAAGTTGTGGGAAGTTTGAAAATTCAAATATAAATGGCCTTAAAGTTAAGAATATTAGAAGATAATGAGCAGAGGAGAAGAAGTTAAGGAAGATTAGTTTTGAATAAAATGCGAGATGAATTCAAGTTATCATAATGGTGGAGGCAGGAGGAACAGGAAGGAATAAAACTGAGAAACTGAAGAGTAAAACAACTCAAGATTTGGGAAATACTGGCATTGCTGAGTAACAAAAGAGGAGTTGGTTTGGGGAACAAGGAGATAAATTTAGTTATCAATATCAAGATTTGAGAATGAGGGCCTCCTCCCTCCTGGCCTAGGGGCTAAGGCCATGACTGTGGCCTTAGTTTGATCCCTTGCCAGGGAGGGACCCCCAGGGTGCAGCAGACCTCTTCTGTCTCCTGGCTGCTCCCCTCAGCAGTGGATTTCAGTCCATCTGCCTGTTCTGCTCCCCACTCTGTCTCTGGGGAATCCTCTCACCCTCCCCATCCTGTACCTCTGGCCTGTACCCCAGTTCTACATAATAAATGAAAAGATTTGAATAAGAGGAAGATAACCAAGCAAGTTTTCAGTACCGGCCGGAACACATGTGGCACAGGTCTTTTTCAGAAGTGGGTAGGATGGCTTGATGCAGCCCAGACAGGAGGGCTGAGCACCCATGCACTGGAACAAGCATTCTAAAATGGAATCCATGAGGTACTAGGAAGACACTCTCCCAGAGACTACCGTGCCTTGATTTCACACCACTTCCAAACTCAGCTTTCCATCCATCTGGAATCATCTCTCCAGCTCTGATAACCTAACTATACCTCAGAACTTTCTCTGATTAATTCCATTTAATATTAATTTTCTGAATATTTAAATTGTTTGCATTTAATTACAATTTTTTCACATGTACATGTCTTAGGACATTTAAGTATGTGTTGTCCACAGGGAATATTTATACCCTATGCCACCTTCCCTGAGACCTTTCCCCTGGCTTTCTCAAGAATCACCAATGACAATGTCCCAACTCATTCTTTTCGAGGAATTATGACCTACAAGTTCTTAGCAATGGGCCTGGTACACAGAGTAGACTTTTAAATCCAATAAATATTTGCTGAATTAATAAGGAACCGGAGATCTGTAAAGGCAAGTCCCTTTCTTCATGTACAGATGTATGGAAAAATAGGTTCTCCCTCTCCTTCACTACGCTTTGAGTAGAATTTTGGCTAATGGTTTTTAGAGAAACTGTGCGCACCTCACCTGTGTTACTACCGGGTGTGACAACCGCCAACTAGCTTTCCCACTGGTCGGCTACTGAGGAAGGCCTGCTCTGCTTAACGTGGGGAGACTAGAAGCCACTGTGGTTGGTGTGTTGGCAGAGCGGAAAGTGGCACAACAGCATCGCTGCCAGGCTGGGGGTAGCTGCTGAGAACGCGCCCTGGAGAAAGGCATGTGTAGCAAGACAAGACCTCAAACAACTGGTGAGAGGCTCCAGGTCGCCCAAATTGGCTTAGAAAAGTCCCATTGGCTGAATGTCTTGTTTGAGCTTTGGAAATGTGCCCTCGGCGGTGTTTGGGTTTACAAGGGAAGCTAAATTTATGAACTGACAATCTGCCTGCTCTGGGAAAACTGACACCAGGTGGGAGAGAAGCAGCCAGGCGAGGTCGGCTTTCTTTTGTTCACCTCTTCACTGTGGATAGGGAGAAATGTCAAAGGCGCCTCTTGTCTGTAAATCTTCCAAAGACTTAATAAAAAGAAGGCATAGAGGGAATAGACTGAAAAAGCTAACACAAAATCTCAACTCATCTACCCTCAGAAACCGCAGAACTCAACCTTCTATTAAAAACAGAGTGGAGGGCACAACTGAAACTTGGGAGCTTTTAGTGCTCCATTTTCCTGATTAAATGCAGATCACATCAGGGCCCTTAATGGGAGAAGGGGCGTACAGCTCCCAGTACATCTGGTCCCTGGTATTAATCTTAACTGTCTGGTGATACCAAGGCACGTGGCTTCTGGGACAGCAAATACCTGCGATGATGACTGAGTCAGTTCGGGCTGGGCCAAATTTCAATGTCATCTCATGCTTGTGTTTATGAACTGCCAGGTGGTCCTCATTTGTAAATCTCTGAAATGAAACAGAAATGGAGATTAAAAAAAAATAAGCGATTCAGTGCCCTTTTGAAATGTCCTACCAAACATCCTGTAATAAGGTTGTTCCCTGGAAAGAGACTGGAGGAGGAATGAGAAGGAGAAAATGCTGGAAATGATGGCAAAGGAGAGGAGATGGGTTGAAAAAGAGAAGAAGAGGCACTAGAAAGCAGGAAGGGAAGGAAAAGGGGAAGACCATAGCCATACTGCCCTGGAATATAGGGTCCAAGTGAGAGAAACAGACAGACTGCTGGTGAAGTGGGATCCAGGCAGGAGGTTCCAACTGAAAAAAAAAAAAACATTAAGACAAACTTGTAAGGACAGGGGGAAATTAATTTTTAATACTAACAAGAGAGAAGAAAGGAAAGGTTGGACATTCATTGGTCATCACAAAAATAGGAAATTCAGAAGGAAGCGCTCCTGTTAAGGCTGAATTGCACTGTTTACGAGGGGCTAACAGGGAGATAAATTATGCAGCATTAGGAGAACCATTTAACTTCCTGGCCCCCACAGTGCTGCAGCAGGCGCCTGCCCAGCTATTTGGCTCACAGTTTTAATGAGCCAGGATGGAGCTATAGCGGACACAGGCCCAGTGGCCGTCAGTAATGGCACACACCAGCCCCATCGGCCAAATGCTGCCTCCCCTTGTCGGGCAGCCCGCCTGGGTTCCATCAGCCATAAAGGGGCGAGGGCAATGCTGCTGGCTGTATAACGGGAGACTAAAATGCAAGCAAAAATGGTTTTTGTTGGGTAGGGAGAGGCCTACAGGCAGTGTGGGAGAAGGGAAAAGAGAGGGTAGAGATTTTTATTTAGGGATTTGTGAGACAAAAATCATGAAAAGGCGAGGCTAGGTCTGCCTCTGCTTAGGACTAAGTAAGACAGGGTCACTGAACCAAAGTTTATGTTCCCATCCTTCTTTAGGAGGGTGGAGGGGAAGGGAACAGATGAACACACGAAGAATGGTATCCTCAAAATCCCCTCTGGGGCGCTTGGCCTTGTTTCTTCACTCAAACACGCCTGCGACACAGCGACAGCTTGGATGCTGCCGTTTCCACAGGCCCTGCACCAGCCGAAATGTGGTTCTATTTGTCTTTGTGTTTCTAAAAATAATGGTGGGTTAGCTCCTCTTTTTACTCTCCTCATTAGATGCATATCTTCCATCAAAACGTTCGCTCTCTTTCCACAGCTCTTTTTGTCTGTGATGAAATAGCAGGAGCTGGCCCCAGTTTAGCTCCTATCCAATAAGGAGCAAAACCAAGCTGTTTAATTCCTTCATTTCTACTTGTAAGTAGCTCTGAAATTTGCTCAGGGCCCTTTCACAAAAAAAGCCAGCCTGAGATCTAAAATCCTCCTTCCAGGCTAGGCCTATATTCCTTAAGAGCACAGGGAATTTTCAACTGAAAGTGTGAAGAACCAAGAAGTAAAACAGTGAAAAGAACATTGCTTTAGTGGTTTCTGACGGATTTAGGACAAAACTGAATAAAGCCTGGGGAGATTTAGATAAGAATTTCAGTTTCTCTATTGGTGGGTGGTTAACTCTGGACATCAAATACTTCCATCACAAACTTTTCCCTAAGGAATGAAGAGAATAGTCTTAACCAGGGGCATATTTATAAGCTGTGGAGGGCCTGGAACTCCCAGGTATTCGGTGAAAGGAAATGAGCAGAATTTTTTCTACACAAAGGAGACAAAAACATTTTAGGGAGACAGATAGGAAGAGTGGTGGATTAGGCCTATATAACACACACTTTTAAAATGTATTGGTAATTTTATAATAATATTTTTTAAAATAATATAATAGTTTATTTTTACATCATTTTGTGCCTTTTTCCATGTCGGTTGTACTTTTATAATGTTTAAGAAAATATGTTTTTAGATATTTCAAATAAATTTCATGTAAGCAGGTTGAAAACTTCTGTGTACTATTCTAGGATCTAGAATAATGACTTTTTTAAAAAAGATTAATTTATTTATGCATACAAGAACTGGGGTACAGGTTAGAGGTGGGGGAGGTGAAAGGATTCACCAGAGACAGAGTGGGGAGAGGAACAGGCAGACTGACTGAAATACACTGCTGAAGGGAGCAGTGGGGTACAGGAAAGGCCTGCTAAGCCCTATGGGTCATTCCCTGGCCGGGGATGGAACTCAGGGGCCTCCCTGGTGGCACAAGGGGTTACAGCATAGCACTATAAAGCTCTCACAGCCACTGAGGCATGAGTTCAATCCCCAGCCAGAGAGGTGACCCACATGGCGCAGCAGACCTCTCCTGACCTGCCTGCTGCTCCCCTCAGTAGTAGATTTCATTAGATCTACCTGTTCTCCACTTTGTGTCTGGTGAATCCTCTCACCATGAACAATACCCCCACCCATTTCTCTGGCCTATAACCCAGTTCTTGTATGCATGAATAAATACATCTTTTTTTAAAAAGTGACTGTCAATCTGGTTGTATTTATTATTCCCTATATATTTTTTCATTTATTGTTAACTCTTAAAAATACTAGGTCAGGCCCTCCCTGGTGGCACAGCGGGTTAAAGCGCAGCACTGAGAAGCTAAAGCCACTTCCGCATGGTTCGAATCCCGCCTGCCCCGGAGGAGACCACATGACGTGGCAGACCTCTCCTGACCCGCCCGCTGCTCCCCTCAGCAGTGTACTTCGTCAATCTGCCTGTTCTGCTCCCCACTCTGTCTCTGGTGAAGCCTCTCACCGCCCCTGAGCCTCTGGCCTGTACCCCAGTTCTGTATGTACAAAAAAAAAATTTTAAAAAAAAAAAATACTAGGTCAGTCGAACTGCATGCTGAGGAAACTATCCCTTTGAAAGTAATTTTGATATATAACATTTTTGATCTTATTAAAAATACAGATTATCCTACTGAACTAAAAGTGGGTGGAGGGCCTCCCAAGGCATTTCCTTTTTGAATTACTAACTTTATGAAAATTGAGCTAAAGGAAAAAAATCCAGCTCTCCCATTTATTAATACCTTTATGGGTCTTTCTTTGTTCTTTGATCTTACCTATGACTAAGGTTTGGCAAAGAGCCACTCAGGGGACTAAGTGAGTGGCTCTTTCTAGCTGAAGTAGAAACAATAATTTTCAGTGAATATATTAATTATCTCCAAGATAACAAAGAGCTGATATCATTTAAAATGGGGGTTAGAGAATTTGAGTAACTCTGGATAGGAAGGCAGTTGGTGTGTCTTGGGGAGGTTTTCTGTAACAGATTCATCGTCTTATTTTCTGAATATTTTCTGGCATAAATGGAGGAGGGAAAAGTATGTGCTAATTTATACCCTATCTGGAGACCAAGATGATTCTGATCTGTCCTACTCAATATGGTAGTCAGTTGCCAGACACAGCTGCTGAGCACCTGAAATGTGGTCCAAACTGAGATACAATACTAAGGGTCAGTCACACTGGATGTAGAAGACTTAGGAAAAATAATGTAAAACCTCTCATTAATTCTGTTGGCTACAGGCTGAAATGAAAATATTTATAAAGTTAAATAAAATGTATTAAAATCGGGCTTCCCTGGTGGCACAGTGGTTTAAGACACAGTGCTATCAAGCTCTTGCAGACCTCTCGTCTCCCGGCTGCTCCTCTCAGCAGTGTATTTCAGCAGACCCGCCTGTTCTGCTCCCGTCTCTGTCTCTGGTGAATCCTCTCACTGCCCACACCTCCAGCTTACACCCCAGTTCTTAAATGCATAAAAAAATCTTTAAAAAATATATGTATATATAAAAGTTGATTTTTCTAGTTTACTTTTACTTTTTAATGTGGTCACCAAAAAATTTTAAATTATGCATGTAATTTGTATTTGTGGCTTGCATTATATTTCTTTTTGGACAGTTCTGATCTAGATAATATGCTCAAAGAACTGAAGGGAGTTTTAATTATGTTACAATCTCGACTTTCTCCTTTGCCCCCAAACCCATTTTCTCCAATGCAGTTTATACTGTATGGCGGCAGTTCTCAACCAGGGGCAGCTCCGCCCTGGGGACATCTGGCAATGTCTGAAGACTCTTCTGCTGGTCACAACTGGGAGATGCTACTGGCCTCCTGAGGGAGAGGCTGGGGGGATGTTGATAAATTCCTATAATATATATTGTGCTTGTCCAAACAAAGCTTTATCTGATCCAAAATGTCAATTGTGTCTCTGTTGAGAAACCCTGCAACAGGGTAACAGAGAAAGAGAAAGAAACAAGAAAAAGGCTGTTTTTCAACTTCCCTTGCCAAACTGCCAACACATGTTTTTGGATCTGAAACTTGGACGGAAAAAACACAGACAAAAAACTCCCAACCTCATTTTATAAAATGGCTGATGTTCTGCAGATCTGCAAATACTTAGGAGAAGGAAATTAGGACGATGGAGACAGAAGACACTGTAATTGAAAGAACAACGTATTAGATGGAATTCTCATGCGTTGCCTTGTTAGGAACAAGAAATGATACTTAAAAGAATTCTGGCTACTTCTGATTTTTACTCTTCAATGAAAAAAAAAATAGTAAGAAAGGAAGTTTAAGAAGCATAAAATGGATTATCAGGACAAAGAGAGAAATCAATCTGAAACTGATACTGCAGAATGGGCAGGAGACATCTAGTTTCTTATTAACAATTTTTCATGGGAGGTCCTTGGAAAAATGCTTTCCATTTTTAGGAGGTTCTTGTGTAGCCTTCTTTAACAAAATTTGGAATCCTACTTACTAGAACACTAAAAGAACAGAGCTAAAAGTTAGGAATGATCTAAGGAACAAAGATGGTGGGAATATATTTCAATGAATGAAGTCTTAAGACTTTTCACATTTGAAAACTGAAATATAAAGAAAACACACCTTGGGAGTGTAGCTCAATTAATTTTTCTTTAAGTATATGCCTATGAAGTTAACAATTCAAGTGAAGATATGAAGCATTTCAGGCACCCAAGAAAGCTCTCCTGTTCCTCTTTCCTTAAGCTTATAGATGAAATGATTACGGAAAAT